GGGGCAAAACTAAAACTTGGTCGGCTTGTTAGTTGTTTATTACTGGAGGCGCCACAGAACATATCAATTTAAATAAAACCTGCAATTCAAGGGGAGGGCGGGGGCAAACGCCCCACCCTGCCCTACTCAAATGACGTCCTTTGTTGAACTGAACTAAAGCTCAAACTCAAATGGCTTAAAGACACATACATGACAGTACAGTTTAATACAGTTAAACCATCACAGTAGGGCCGTCTTTACAGCAGCGACGGTCCAGTGCAAAGTAATGCACTGAGGCCCCCTATTCCTCTATATGCTCAGGGCCGTGCGAAGGAGGGGGTGAAATGGTCAATCACCCTTGGCGCCAACATTAGCGGGCGCCAAAATCGTCTTTTGATAGGCCATTAATTCATTAATAGTGAATTAAACGATAAAATGCCATGCACTTCAAAAAGGGGCGACAAAATCTTACCAGTCCGCCCTGGGCGCAGCTTTCCTAGGCACGGCGCCATCTATAGTACTCTATGGCCTACTTTTCAAGAACCGGTAATTTTATGACAAGCATTATGGCCCAGGTAGGGCCATGCGATTTTGACAGTGTCTTTCAGGAAATGTTATCTGCCCGGGGAGGTGCTCATTTCAGGCGTTCGGAGGGAGGGGGGGGGAGGTTGCAAGACATCGATCACATAGGGGCTCTGTTTGACGTCGCTGTGGTGGCATGCTGAGAAAAGAAGGGCTGCCACCGACCCCTAGCGCTACCCGGGGAACACAACCACCAATGCGTGAGCCTGTGTGGGCAGACACAGAACATGCATATGCATCGTCCTAAATTGTAGCAACTGCAGTCTTTGGTCATATCTGCAGGTGAAATGACACTGCAGTCTTTGGTCATATCTGCAGGTGAAATGACACTGCAGTCTTTGGTCATATCTGCAGGTGAAATGACACTGCAGTCTTTGGTCATATCTGCAGGTGAAATGACACTGCAGTCTTTGGTCATATCTGCAGGTGAAATGACACTACAGTCTTTGGTCATATCTGCAAGTGAAATGACGATAGAAACAGGGTAGGAATCGTGGTTACTAAGTTGCCGATGACGGATATGAGGCGTGAGGCAGGTAGCGGCAGCCTCATGCTGATGATTTACACACACACCCATTGAGGAGACTAATCCTAGGCAACCGTTTCGTCCCAGCTACTACGTGAGCCATTTGCGAGGTTGAAATCCACTGCAAAAAACCCATTAGAGGGGATCTGGCGCTTCCCTGGATATTAAGACGTAAATATAACATCCCGTCCCTGGGTAAGTTGGTTGCTGATGTTGGGAGAGCAGCTTCACAAACCGATGTCCTTAGCCTAAGGTAGCCCCCGTAAAAATAGTCAATCGAGTGAAGTTATGGCGGGGGGGGGGGGGGGGGGGGGGGGGGGGGGGGCTGTCCTTATAGCAGGGCGAGATCTCCAGCGTGCCTCTTCGCGGTCCCATATTTAGGGGACTTTTCAGGTTGGAGGGGGCTTGTTTTGGGGAGGGTGGGGGCATTAAGAGCTATGGCTCGACGTCTCGCTGACGCCGTTCTCTAATGTACTTGTCCAACTAAAGGAAAAATCGTAATTTTTCCCGTTCAGAAATATCATTGTAATGACTTGCATCCGGCGCTGCTTTTGTTAACTTTAAAATGTGTCGGNTGTCCTTATAGCAGGACGAGATCTCCAGCGTGCCTCTTCGCGGTCCCATATTTAGGGGACTTTTCAGGTTAGAGGGGGCTTGTTTTGGGGAGGGTGGGGGCATTAAGAGCTATGGCTCGACGTCTCGCTGACGCCGTTCTCTAATGTACTTGTCCAACTAAAGGAAAAATCGTAATTTTTCCCGTTCAGAAATATCATTGTAATGACTTGCATCCGGCGCTGCTTTTGTTAACTTTAAAATGTGTCGGGACTGTCAATTGAATAGGGTGAGGGAGAAGAGATCCAGGGCGCCGAACGAAACTGGTGGTGGTAAGGTTTGGGGAGGGGTCTTAGAAAACGTGAATTTAGTTTTGCATCATCTACACAAAAACGGCTAGTACTAGCAGCAGAAAAGATGCTAGTTGAAATTTAGGTTCCCTTGACCATGCAAGGGTGACACAATTCCTTTTATTTTTAGTTGTTATCTACACAGTAACATCCTTTCATAACTTTGATGAAACCATTTGTCTGCGTAGACAACTTCAGCAATGAATGAATCTATTTTGTTGAAATATATCCGTTCATAAAAGCTGTTCATTAGGAGAAAAAACAACAACAAACTATTAGTATATGAGCATAATAATTACCATTTGGTGTTTATTTAAAACATGAGAACACTTTTCCAAAATGTACAGTTACAAAAATGAGAAAATACTGTTGGTAGAAAAGGTCCATAGATTCTGTATGACTATTTAAAACAGGCCTTTCTTTTATATAAGTTGTGTCTAAACGGTATTAAAAAAAACAAGGAAATATCTACAAAAGCCGTCATGCATTTATTAATATATGTTTAGTCTGAGGGAACATGGCGCAGTGTGAATGTCCAAACAAATACAGTTACTTATAAACAAATGCAGTTACTTATAAACAAATACAGTTACTTATAAACAAATACAGTTACTTATAAACAAATACAGTTACTTATAAACAAATACAGTTACTTATAAACAAATACAGTTACTTATAAACAAATGCAGTTACTTATAAACAAATACAGTTACTTATAAACAAATACAGTTACTTATAAACAAATACAGTTACTTATAAACAAATACAGTTACTTATAAACAAATGCAGTTACTTATAAACAAATGCAGTTACTTATAAACAAATGCAGTTACTTATAAACAAATGCAGTTACTTATAAACAAATACAGTTACTTATAAACAAATACAGTTACTTATAAACAAATACAGTTACTTATAAACAAATGCAGTTACTTATAAACAAATGCAGTTACTTATAAACAAATACAGTTACTTATAAACAAATGCAGTTACTTATAAACAAATGCAGTTACTTATAAACAAATACAGTTACTTATAAACAAATACAGTTACTTATAAACAAAT